TTGACAATCCTGCCACACAAAACATAAAAAGGTTGGTTAAATTTATGATGCAAGCAAAAGCTGGGTAAGTTTTAAATAAGCGATAACCAAAGATAATAATAATCTGGCTATCTATCTGGTTTTGCTCAAGAACAGACACATTGAAAATAATGAACACGACTAACTTAGGTCCCTTAATTTTAATGGCATTACTCTGAGTAAAACTTAGTTGACTATCAGCCATTGTTTTCAAAGGAGGTAGCTGAAACTTCATATTTAACAATAGGTTTACAACCCAAACTTATTTTAGATATCTTAAACATTTTTATACTATTCAAACCCATTCAAACCAAGTCTTCTGGATTGTTCACAAAACAATATAAAGGAATAGTCAAACACAGAAACACACGTTTATGTTGAAAATAGTTTTGTTGAGTTCACTGAGCTTTTTCCACTGTAACTGTGCAGACCCAATGAATTCAGGGGAAATTAATTTAAAATGAACATGCTTAGGACTGGGCTGTATATTTATGCTTGGGACTCTTCTTTAAATAAACAGAGATGGTATTGAACCAGAAATTGCATACATACCACATCCAACAGAAGAGACAAGTGACCAAGTTCAATTGTTCCTGCATTTTCAGGCTCTGTTGTTGAGTACGAATAGACATCACCTGATTTGTCAGCAACCAATATCTTATCTTCTGCCGCTGTTATAATCAGGGAAGTACATCTTCTAATGACAGACCTGGAATGAAGAATTGACACTAATTAGGGTCTAAAACTTCCTCTTTGGAAGATTAGCCTTTATAGCTAAATTATGTTTGCACATCACATTCTGATTGCTAAATTTGGTGGCAGGAAGGCATTTTCCCAGAGAAGTTAATGGCCACATTATTTGCCATGAAGATCTGCAGAAACTAAAAGAAATGAACAACGTGTTTTACTTACTAATAAGTACCTGAAAAGGGTTATTGGTAGCCAGGGGAAATAAGGCACTGCAGCTACAGAATTTTAGAAAGCCTGCCCTTTGGTCTTTCTGGAAGTGGTAACAGAAGATCTCAAAAGAGAAGGGCTTAATAATCCCAGTGAGAATCTAGCACCAAAGGAGTTTAAAGGGTATGCATGAAGCACAGTTCTAAATCCTAGGAATAAAATTCATTCATTCATTTATGACCACTCTTAACCTGACCTTAATCGTAATCCCACTTTAATCCTACTCTTATTCCCATCACCACACACTGGACAAGCAAAAAAAGGACTCCTTTGCTTTGTCCCTATTTTTTCCTAACTTTTAAATGAATATAATTTGACACCTTCACCCACAATGTAGTCTCTTTTTAGAGCTGAAAGGAAGTATAGAAACATTTTTTTAAAATAAATAAACTTCTGACACCAAAATAAATTTCTGTTCTTCATACTGGGTTGGGAGGTGGGGGCCCTTTTATCTGAATTACAGAATGGAAAGAATGTATCAAGTCACAATATAGAGAGTTCATGATCAGGTACCTGTGAAATCTTGCACATTTTTAGTGAGGATTATCATGACTAAGAACAAAGTGATTGTGAAATCATCTGAGTTTCAAAAACAACTTGCAGGGTAGTGCAACAAAGTTAATAAATTATGTTACGGGGCTGCTCTTCAGCTGTAATTTTCAGAGCGGCTTACAAAAAACACATAAAATAAAATAATACAACCAAGCAAACAAATAGCAGGCAGCTAAAACCATCATAAAGATAAAGCACAGAAGGCTAAAACCAGATTTTATTTTAATCTCTTTAAAAAATTCCAAAATTTAATCACCAATTTAGCTTAAGCCTTTTGTGAACGGAAAAAAGAACTAGGTGCAGTGTAAAGTTTTAGACTTGGGTGAGGCAGATCTGGAGTGACTTTGACCAAACAACATAGGTTGCCCGTCCCAGCACTAGAGGAAGTGAAGGACACCAATAATGGGTAACTTTTCTATCAGTAAAGTTAAATATATCTGATCAGTTACAGAAAATGATCAAGAAATGTAAAGAAGTTTGTCTTAAAACAGCTCTTATTTATATGTGGGTACAAATATTTCTCCTGAAGTGCCTTCCTTTCCATACCTTACACTCAGACATTCCCAAGACGGTTTCGTACGAAAAAGGATCAGTCGTTTGTTGTCATCAGTCAGAGCAAAGTAGGTTCCTGATGAAGAAAACGTGCAGCAAGGATATCGTTACTTGCTTCACCCACTGACTTTCCGTCATCTCTAAAAACAATGAGAAAGAAAAAAAATATTCAAGACCTAGAGGGTTTTGCACCCAGTTACCTCAGTCTAAGAACAGGAATTGCTATTTAGTAGGTTGATCAATACAACATTGTTTATTGACCTAGAGGTATCTGTACTACTAAGTAAATGGATACCTTATGGAATTATGTTTTCTATTATTTCAGAGGGTATGCCTTCCTTCCACAAGTGTGCAGTAAGATCAGATTTTTAAAAACTTTACACACCAAATCCTTTCTTATAAACAATGGTGAAGGCAGCGCTCATGGTCGAAACAGAGATATCTATAGCCCACCCCCCAATGGCAGATGATGGGGTAGCAGCAAAGAGACCTTCCTTCTTATTTAAAAAAACATTTTTACGGCTAGAGGCAGCCAGTCAGGAATGTACATGTTTGCAGATATTCACTGTACTATTTTTACTTTAAAATAGCTGAACAGTACAGTGTGGTGTAGTGGTTAAGAGTGGTAGACTCGTAATCTGGTGAAACCAGGTTTGTGTCCCCGCTCCTCACATGCAATTGTTGGGTGACCTTGGGCCAGTCACACTTCTCTGAAGTCTCTCAGCCTCACTCACTTCACAGAGTGTTTGTTGTGGGAGAGGAGGGGAAAGGAGATTGTTAGATGCTTTGAGACTCCTTAGGGTAGTGATAAAGCTGAATCCAAACTCCTCTTCTTCAGTACTCATTCCCAAGTAAATGCACTGAGCATCAGGGCAGCAGAAGCAAGCACCATTTTATCTGTGTAGGTGCTATGATTTAAGCGAGTTTTAAAAAGGACAAACTGCATATGCCCAGCACACTTTTTATTATTAGGGTAGTCAAATAGTTTTTTGCTTGGTATATTTCTCTAACTGATCAGGGATGTGGAAGCACTTGTAAAGTGTGGAATGGTGGTGGAAGGGAGAAATATTAAATTATGTAGTTCACAACTGAAGAAAAACACACGACCATTTAAAACCCCATCCCATACCAGACTATTGAGTCCAAGGTTTAGAATCACTTAGCTGCATCACTGCATATAAGTAGTTTGTATTCCTCAATTTGTTTATGTATTTTATGTGACATTGGTGGTAGCGGCAACATTTATTTTCAGCTACAAACAACAACTCTAAGAGATGTAAATGTCATTCAAAATGATGGAATGCAGCGGATTTCCTACTGCAGATTAAGGAAAATTTAAACAGTCTTACCCTTGATTCTGTTGAAGTTTCTCTGTTGCTGTGGAACAGTCATAAATGAAAATATCTTCATTCCTGGAAATTATATAATTACATCAGGTCAGTATTTTCCAATAAGCATAGTATCAGTTGTGTCTCATCTTACTTACCATGCCTTTTTAAACAGTAAAATTTCAAAATTAATGAGGTTTTCTGTTTCATTTTATTGCAGAGGAATATATAGACATGGAAAATACTAGGGCAGAAAACACAGAGAAGTTTTAGAATCTTTTATGAAAAGTATCTTTTACATGGTTCTTTTTTTTCAAACTTCTGCATTATTACCACAGATGTCAGTACCTCTATACAATAAATGTAATTAAATGGTCCATTATTTATTGGCCAGAGACTGATACAGAGCTTCCTTATAGCACAGCTTTATACATGTCCACTCAGAAGTATATCCCATTGAGTTAAATGGGATTTACCCATTTCACAGTTCAATTACAGAATCCGTCTATTAAGAGGGATCAGGTAGTAACCATGGGAAGTTAGAAAACAATAGGAGTGGAGACCTATTGTCAGCACTAACAATACACTGTCTACCTAGAGTAGCTGACTCAAAATTAAGCAACTCATTATATAATATCTTGAAACCCAAGTGATCATATATTTTAAGAAGAGCAGTGGGTAATACATTCTCCAAAGCAGAAAATGTGCAGAAAATAAGAAGCAGAGAACGTGCGTACTCTGATTGCTTTTACTTCTGAAAGCATTATCTATTTTGGAACCTTTTTAGCAGGAAAAAACATGTAAATTCAATCATCCTAAACCTATAAGGATGGAGAAAGGCTGTCCACCCCCTTCATCCGACCAGCATTTCATTTGTCGGAAGAGCACTGCAGCCTATTTCCTCTAATTATAAAGATCAGCGTTGTCACTCAACTTTTCTAAGCTGACCAGCATTATGCACACTGACCAGCTGCCTGGATAAACTGTGTGCACACTGCCACCGGTTATTGATCCTGACCCACTGTGAGTATAAAAGGAGGGCAGCTTTGAAGTAACTGATCAGAATTAAAGGGTCACCCGGTTACCGCTTTACACACTCCGTTAAAGAAACACACAACCCTTCTCACACAGCGACTGCCTTACAGCGGAATCTTAACCGTGCCTACTCAGAGCAAGTTCAATGGTAAATGCTGTTAGGGCTGCAGTCTCAGCAGATATATAGACAAGACGACGGGAGAGCGAAGCTAGAAGAGGCTGAACAGGAGCTCCTCGGCCCGGTTTCACTCACCCAGGCTCTTTGTAAAGGGCCGCCAGGAGCTTGGCTCCACCGGTGACCACCATCAGGTCCCCGCAGACGGCCAGCTCCGGGGAAGAACCCGCAACCCCGGCGGGGTCAGCCGCCTCCATGCCCGACAACAGAGCCGCGTGCGGGAAGCCACACAGCCGTCGCCGGCAAATGACGTCACTGCGGGACTCCTTGGCAAGGGCCCCTCCTCCCCAGTTGAGGAACGGGAATCCCCACCTCTCCCTCGCCGTCACTCAGCAGCAAGAGAGCGCTGCTCATTGGATACTGCAGGGAATGTGGGCGGAGCAAGACCCTTGACAGGGGAGGGACCTTTTCCTCCTGGGCGGAGGTTGCAGCAGGGACGAGGTTGGGTGGGACGCCGACATGGCGACGGCTCTGCTAATCTCCTGCGGCCGTACTGCCGTGCTCAAGGTAACCGAGGGTGAAGATCCGAGAGGCGCTTTCGGGCTGGCCGCTCCGTCGCCACAGTGCCGTTTATAATGTTTGTGCCCGTGGACGGACCTTGTGTGCGTCAGGATTCGACCTGACGTTTCCGGGTTGTGCAGCTTGAGTCAGTGCATTATTCCTTGGCAATAAGTTTTGCTGATTTCAGTGGGACTTACTCCCTAGAAGATGGCAGTAGGGCAGGCTTCCCCAGCCTCGGCCCTCCAGATGTTTTTGGCCTACAATTCCCATGATCCCTAGCTAGGTGGTCAGGGATGATGGGAATTGTAGTCCCAAAAGCATCTGGAGGGATGAGGTTGAGGAAGCCTGCGGTAGGGTTTTAGCTGTAACTTCAAAGCCTGCAGGGCAATGGGCAAACTCTTAGCTGCCTCTTTGATTTTGGCTTTTCATGCTATCATTTATTTTTATTGATATTGAACGGTGGAGGCTGTCACTCAGAGGTAACGCCCAACATTTGCATCCAAAAGATCTCAAATTCAGTCTGGCATGTGTAGGTAAAGGATCTCTGGTAGCAAAGCCAGGAAATAACTTTTCCCGAGGCCTTGGAGAGCAGGAGAACCACTGTAAGTCAGACTAGAGCATGCTTGGCAGATTACATTTTCATTAATTTGGGGAGAGAGATGGAAAAATCACATAATTGCTGTTGCCGGTTGCTGTATTGTTCTACCTCACTGAGGGCTGCTTTGCTGACACCCTAGCCCTCGCTCATGGGACAAGTGCTTGCATTTTTTTTCTAGAACACGGATCGGATGAACCAGTCCTGATTGCTCCTGGGCCACATAGTGCCTACTGTGATTTTTTGCAATTAATGCAGGTCTAGAAGGATTTTCTGGACCCTGACTTGACCAATCAATATATTTCTTACTTTTTAAAGAAAGAGAGTGCACCCTACATTACCTAATGCTGTTTAACAGCCCTAACTAGTATAGATCATCTGACTATGTGCTGTTGCTTTTATAACCTTAAACCTTAAACTTCCCAAGGGGGCTTGGTGGGACCTGCACCCAAAAGAGCCTTATTTGAGTGCCTGTTATCTCCTCCTACATTCTGTCTGGGGACTCATGCCAGATGCAGACACTTTACCACCACCCACCACCACCTGTGCTTCAGCAGTAGATTCAAGGGAACCCCCAACTATGAACTCAACACTGTGACACACACAACACACACCCCGCCGCATGGAGTTCCTTCCATCAGCTTAGGCTAGTGGCCTACTCGCAAACCTATCTAGTAGGGATAACTTGGCTACAGTAATCTATGCTCTGGTAACCTCAAGTCTGGATTGCTGCAATATGTTTTATGTGGGGCTGCCTTTGAAAATGTTCAGAGCTTGAGTTAGTTCAGAATGTGCCTGGCCAACTGGTGATGGATTTGAGGCAACATAAGACATGCCTGCTGGATCAAGCCAGTGGCCAGTGGCGCAGCTATGGTCCAGCATCCTGAGGGAAGCCTGCAAGTTGGACATGAACACAACAGCATTCTGCCCATCTGTGATGTTCAGCAACTTTATTCAGAGGCATAATGCCTCTGACAGTAGAGAGAGAACATAGCCATGAATTTGTCTGTAAGAACAGATAATATAACACCTATAGTCTGTTCCAACTTCGCTAGCTGCCTGCATGCTTCCAAGCCCAATTCAAAGTGATGGTTTTGACATACAAAGCTCTTTCCTGCTCAGGACTCCAGTATCTTCTGGAATGCCTCTCCCTATACGAGAGACCCATAGATCTTTGTTTGAGGCTCTTCTCCCTTCTGAGGGAGGCTAATGACAAAGGAGAGGGCCTTTTCAGTTTTGGCTTTGTATCTGTGGAATTTGCTCCCCACCGAAGCCTTCATTGACATCTTTTTGGCACCAGGCAAAGGCTTAGCTTTTGTCACAGGCTTTTGACAGACTAAGACTATATTGCTTGTTATTAGTATGCTGCCAAAGTGTCCTGTGGCTATTATGGGGTTGTTGGTTGCTCTGTTTTATGGTATAATATATTTGTGATTTTAGCAGAATTGTAAGTCACTTGGAGTCCTTCGAGTAACAAGCAGTCAACAAACCAAATAATAGAAGTAGTAGTGCAAGTACTGACATGGTTACCTTGTGTTCATATTCCTCTTTAACAGGTGCTATAAACTATAGGTTGCTGTGGTGCAGGCTTTAAATCCTCTAGTTGTATAAGGCTATAAATTCTGCAGTGAGTATTTCTTCAGGTATGTTTAGTGCCACTTGCCACTTTTAGACTACCAATAATTTCTTCACTGGTAAAATAATAAAGTTCCTTACGGCCTAGGTAAAAGGCATGGTGGCTTTATTAGATGTGAACCTACATTAATGTAATATTCTACAATGATGCAGAAGGTGTATGTTGTTGTTGTCTTCATTCTCTCCCACCGCACCCCAAATTGTACATTACATTCACTTGTCAATCAGTTCTGTATTTGGAGCAGGAGAAAGAAGCACACTTCAGTGTGCTAGCACCAAGTTTTAACATTCCTCTTAATTGCAAGGCATCCGTAACCATTTCCAGATATAATAATAAAAAAGCATTTATTTGCACTGTACCTGTTTTATCTGCACAGAGCTGTGTCAAAATCCTTATTTGAATGTAAAGTCCATTTACTTGTACCAAACTTATGCCCCTTTACGTGAGGCTGGAAAAAACTAGGTATATTTGTACAGGTGCATAAGCATTTGATATATATGGCTAGGACCTGAAGTAAGAATATTTGTTTGAGAGTAAGGGTGTCTTTTTATATTTCTAAAAGTTTGTGCATGTTCTATGTGAATACTTGTTGGTACAAATGGGTATACATGTAGCAACATAGGCTTTTGTTAGTTAAGACAACATTTCAGATTTCATAGTTTTCTTAATTTGCACAGTTTATGCTCTGGAAGGAATTGCAGGGAGTGAGTGGTCTGTTTTATCACAACTGCTGTACATATATGCCTGATTTTTAGTCATATTTGTCTACATTGTGCTTTATACTTTTTGTAGCCTGGATAATTATAAATGACATTATTAAATCAAGTGTCTTTCTAATTATTACAGATTTTCTACTTATTTCAAATTCTTTTACAGACTTTTAAGTTGCAAGCATGGGGGCTTCGAAGTGTACCTCCTGCTGTTTCTCTCTGCACCAAACCAGGGGGTGATAAGAAAGTCTCCAAAAAAAGTAAGATATCTTTTCTTATTTGTTAATTATGCAAGTTATAAGATGGTTTGCATAACATTTTGTAACAATATTGAACAAAAGTTTGTTAGTTTTAATGGTCTGCAGAATGTTAAGATTCAGACTTTTAAAATTACATCTAGTGGTTATTACCATATTCTAGGCATTCTGTAGAGGACTTGTATAGCAACTTTTAAAGCCACAGGTTCACCTAAAATATCAAGGTTTATTTCTAAAATAATTGGATTATTCTAACATCTTTTAAGAGATTAAAACATTCAAAGCAGCAATACTTGCAGCTGTCAACCTATTAAACTCCATTTAGCAATTTCAGTGTAATAGACAGAAGGCAGATATTTTAGGAAAACGCTCTCTATAATTAGCCATTAGAACAGGAATACTGGACTACAAGTCCCATCATCCCTTATCATTGGCCATGCTAGCTGAGACTGATGGGAGTTGGGAGTCCAACAGCTCCAGGAGGGCCAGGTTCATCTCTGTTGTAGAGTTTAATAATTTCTAACAAATGGATGACAGGAAAGCAGAGCTCAAGGCAATTAGCCAACCCAATGAAGTTCACTACAATGAAGTTTCTCACTACATCAATGTCATTCCCAGGAGCTCTTTGGGTTTTTCTTTATTTTTCTTTATTTGCAGTAAATTTACATCACATGCCTTGCCTGTATCTAAAATAATTTCAGGGGAATATTTAACAGCATTACCAGCTCCAATAAATGTAAGGTTACGGTCAAAACGTTGGGAGTCCCTCAGCAGTGTTTTTCTTAGGGAAGATAGAGACAATGTATGGGAATAATGATACATGGTTGTTTGTGAAATACATGAGTGGGCTTGTTTTATTAAAGATGTGAAACCTTTATTAAGATGTGAAATCTTTACATGCAGCATCCAATCTGCATTAAAATAGGTTTCAGAATATATACATATAAAACTTACACATTTGGTTGGAAAATCCCTACTATTGGGTTCCTTGATTGTTTATTAGCAGTTGCTGATAGAATTCTCCATGCATAAAGGTAAAGATAAAGGTAAAGGTAAAGGGACCCCTGACCATTAGGTCCAGTCGTGACCGACACAGGGGTTGCAGCGCTCATCTCGCTTTATTGGCTGAGGGAGCCAGCGTACAGCTTCCGGGTCATGTAGCCAGCATGACTAAGCCGCTTCTGGCGAACCAGAGCAGCGCACAGAAATGCCGTTTACCTTCCCACCGAAGCAGTACCTATTTATCTACTTGCACTTTTGATGTGCTTTCGAACTGCTAGGTTGGCAGGAGCAGGGACCGAGCAACGGGAGCTCACCCCGTTGCGGGGATTCGAACCACCGACCTTCTGATTGGCAAGTCCTAGGCTCTGTGGTTTAACCCACAGCGCCACCCGCGTCCCTGCATAGTGAACTCAAATTGACCAACAGTAACAAAATCACTTTCTATTCTGCTATTTGAGAAGGGTATTGGTACCACTCCTGTAGTCTCATCTGCCATTCTTAAATGTTACTTTAGGGAAATTCAGTACCTTAATTTGATTCTCTTTGACACAGTATATTTAAGCTTTTTAATACATTTTCCTTGTTGTATGTTACTGCCCACTGAATTTAGACTGATTGCATACAAACGGTAGGGTCCACACACAATCCAGGCTTATTTGTGTAATCTTTGTGGTTTTTTTAGTAGCTGTGCTTGGCTAAACTTTCTGTTCTTCCAGACACTGTTATAACTATTAACTTGTAATTACTAGGGTATCTTAACATACAAAAGAGTATTTAGAGTTTGGAAAGTGCAACAAACCATTGACATGTATCTTTCTTCTTTTAACACTCTTAAAATTTTACTCTTCTCCTGTTAAATGTACATATCTTTGGGCTGTAAACTCCCTGTCTTGTCTCCTTGAAAGGAATTATTATACCTTTTATTATTCCTGGTTCCTCAAATTTGTTAGAGTGACCTGTAAAAACTGACACAGGAAAAAAGCACATCCTGGTTTTTCCCTGGGGCTCCTCATGCTGTGGTGGAGTAGTCTGCATAGTCTAGAGATTGAAGAGTGTGCAGTATACTTTTGCACTGATGAAGGAAAACAATTTCTCGTGTCATTCATGGAAAATAAAAACGGGTTATGCAGATGTTGCTTTTCTGATGCTAATGGAATTGAAAATGCTAGTTTGATATCTAGTATTTTCCTCTGACAGGCGTGTAAGCACCTTTGTTATTCACACCATCCTTGTGCTTTGCATCCTTAAAAGCTCTGTGAAAACCACTTCCCAATATATCAGTCTGGTTATCAATGACAATGATCATTCTTCAGTTGGAGCAAAATCAGTAGCACTTGAGGAGTATGTGTGGGTGCAAGAATTAAGTGTGGAGAACTGTGGTTCTCTCAGTGTTGCTACTTAGAAAGTAGCTGCAATGTGGCTATTGACTTTTAAGTTACAAGTTTTGTTCAGTCCCTAATTAATTTTCTCAACGCTAACTTCACTTATCAATAATCTGAAAATGAATAATTCTGCTACCATGCTTTAAATACTGTCCTCTTTTCCCCAGTCTTTTATGATGGTCTGTTCTCATTTTCATGTTGATGATTTCATTCTTTCTTAGCTGTCTTAACTTCACAGCATGTATACTACTCTGGCTTAGTTTTATGCTGTCTTGCTTATTTAATGTCTTTTGGCACTCTCTGCTAAGGTTTCTGTTAAGTGCTCTTGGTGCAAGAACAACTTAGA